AGAGAGAGAGAGAGAGAGAGAGAGAGAGCTGTTTGAGGCTGAGCAAAGTGTTGAATGGAGGAATGGAGAGAAGATTTGAAAATGTGCTGACTGGCTTGCCTTTTACCAGCACATGACCTCTTAAGGAGATTTCAGGCCAGTAGCTGTGCTAAGCAGCGCTCTGTAGCTCACTGTGCAAAGGGAGCAGGTACTGTAGCTCTCACAGTACAAGCAGGGGAGGAAGGCTTAGTGACAGCTCTGGGATCAGCCCTACTGTGCATAATGTGGAGCATCAGCATGTACAGTACTCCTGCGCTTAATCTATCTCCGTTTTATTTCCAAGTTTCACACCGGAAGAGCTCCAAGCACCCATTTCTAACTATGCCTGATGCAGTATCTATTAAGGCTGTTTGCCAAATAATACAATACACAGTTAATACAGAACATGATTAATGTAATAGAAAATGAAGAGGAAACGTTGTGAGGAAACGCAAATTACATAAACGCTTTATGTGCCAGATTCCCTCAACACATGTTTAAATGTATTGTGTTGAATAAAATCCAATTGAGCCTGTTCTTTAGCCATAGCTCGGACTATCGAATGGATTGCCATTTTATTTGTCCACGTTACCATCACGATGAATTGCAATGACTTTAGTAACCCCTCAAAATTGTATCTGTGTGATATAGTGACTGGTATAATGATAACAACACTGTCAAATATAGGATAGGATTCAGTGTATGTGTGTATCATGATATTTGGAAGAGGAAAGTGGGACCTAAGAAAGAGGGACAGTGTGAGAGCGGGTGGAGAAAGACACATCTGGACAACTCATCTGTGGAATACTGAGGTCATGAGTCACTCCAACCACATGCGCATCATTTCCTGTATGTTCACCCCTGCCATTGGTTACTGCTGGCCTCTGCCATGTTGACTGTAAACATAAACCTTCTCCTCCTTTTCTGTCACTCTCACGCTGGCTGTCCAAAAGAGCAACTCCGCTGTCAAGCCAGTCCCTCCAGATTATGGACTTGAACAAAAATCTCCCCTTTGCTATTGTATTTGTTTGTGCTGACGCTAAGAATCTGCAGTCAGATTTACATATTCCTGACATCATTTGTCATCATAAACATAAAGATTTATATTTTTTGTTTCATATCCAGCACCTATCTATGCCATATAAATGGTCCTATTAACAATACAAGTCCTTCAAAAAGCATCTCTGCTGCAATAAACAATTATTTTATATGCTGATTATTTTCTTTATAAACCTTATTTATTATAAAATGTAAACAAAAACAATTGAAAATGTCCATCCCAGTTACTCAAGTATCAAAGTGATGTTATTTGTGTCAGTCCAAAACCCAAGGGATTCAGTTAATATGAAAAGCAGGACATCTCCATATTGAAAAGGCTGTTTCTTTGTCATTGATGCATGCAAAAATTGCTTTGACCATTCATCGTTTGTTTTTTTTATAGTTAGGGCTTATTTTTCTGTTGGTCGACTAATCAATTTGTCATTTCAGATCTACAATATCTACTAATATTGTGACTCTGTATTTGCAGTGCCCCTTTCATTGCTTCCTGATTTCAGCAATTCACCCGTTATCCTTCATCATCAGTAATGCACTTCCTGTCCGTGCTCCACATGTGTGTATAAGGATGTGTGTGTATAAGGATGTGTGTGCTCGAGCGCTGCAGTGTGTATGTGCGCCGGGAGACAACCCAGCTGAAGCTGCTGGAATTTCCGGGAAATTCTTCTGGTCCTTAATGTCCGATCCAATGTGAGCTGAGGTTATGGTTAGAGCTGCATGGTTATAGAAACACATGTGGTTCCTAGTCTTTCAGTAATTCTGATCACAATTATTAAGCACAAATACATGTGTCTAATAGGAAATCTTCATATCAGGGTGGCACTGTTTCTGTTATTTTGAGGAAGGTGTTATGTCTTTTTTTTGGGAGCAATAGCCTTTATATTGTGCTAAGAACCGATGTGGGGTTAGCAAGGCGACGAGAGGTGCATCAGGTTTTATCTTCCTCTTATTGAGATGAGGGAAGTCGAAATGTCTCATGCATAATTATCATGGTTCGGAGCTTGCCTGATATCATCTGGTTTGAAATGAACATATTTCCAGATGACAGCCACACCGCGCTGAGCCAGCATGTGGAGGACACATTATTTGGCCTTTTCGCTTTCTATGATGGCCTGTGCTGAGAAAGTCATTTCTGTCATGTTAATACATTCTTTAGTCCCATGGAAAAGGGAAGTGAACGGAGGCGATCTGCTGCATAGCGAGTGGAAGTGATCGGTCACAAAGCATGCTTGCGAGCACAAATCAAAGATAGAGAAAGAACAACGCTGACCTAAATGATTCCATACAATTTAAGTGTGTCTGCATTTTTATAATTTACTTGTACAGATTAATAGTGGAGTGAATCTGAAGGGAATCAGGAAGGACAAGGCAGATAATATGAATAACTGATGTTGTTTTATTTCAAGGCAAAGTCCTTTGAATATTGTTTGCTGAAAAAGTATGACAATGCCAACTCTCTAAAATAATACATAGAGACAATGACAAATTCCTGCTGGCTTTGTGTGAATACATGTATTGTTTTTGTGACTAATTTCCCACTGATTTGCAGTGAAGACCAGCTGCCTGAAAACACAGCTAGGAACTGAAGGGAAAAAAGTGACAACCGGAGTGAGGAGAAGCGGGTGTGTGTGTGTGTGAAGGCTTTTGACCCGTAGGTTGTCTACACTGTGGAGCAAGCACGTACACAACGCAGGATTCTTCCTGAAACGAAACTCAAGCCATGGAAAAACACAGCTGTTATAAATAAGCTGCCACAATATCTCTGACTCACAGACTGTGTATAATCATGAAGGCATTGATGCTCATCACTTCAGTTTTGGCCACATTTCTGGAAATCTTTTCTCCACCTGTTTATATTTGACTTTAAAAGTAAAACACATTTGAATCATTCAGATCTAGAGGCCCAGCCAAAACGCCATCTGAAAATAATGTTAACCAGAAAAACAAAATAATTCAAGGTGAGGGTCAGCCAAGGCAAGTTTAGCCGAAGGTAAGGCTTTTCTATTGAGAGTATCGAAGGCCAAAGGTGAATCAGGATGATGTAATATTCAGATCCTTCAGATAATCGTTACAGGCAACTGATTCTAATTGCATTCATTTCCAGATAGGAATAAGACCAAAAACAACCTTGAGGCTTGGTGTGTTTGTTTTTGTGTGTGAGAAAACAAACTTTGATTCTTCAAGAGTTTCATGATCCACTTGCTTGAGGAGCTGTTGGCGATGTGGATGTCTGCAGTTCTATTTTTTTCTGTATTTCAGTTTTTTACGCATCTACTGTGCTAATAAGTAAGTGCTTTATTTTAGCCTGATCTGCATGAAAAATGGAATCAAACTTTCTGTCTAAAATTCTTCATAAATATATTCTTCATCCATTCTATATGAAGCAAGAGAACACATTTGTGATTGCTTTTCATACAGGATCCAAGCAGGATCTCCTTGGAACGAGACACGGGTTGTGAATTGTATTTCCAAACATATTTTTTGTAGAGTAGAGCAGGTCTGTATTTTTACACTGTGAGCCCACTACAAAACTAAAAAATGTATCTGCAAAAATGTATGAGAAGTCTGACAGATGGCCAGCAGCCACAGGTGGTGTTCACTGTTTCATCAGTTATTGCCACAGAAGCCGCAGTGAACATTCACCTTATATGTCGCCTCCGAAATATTTTTAAAAATCACAATACACACAAAAGGACAAACTTTTCCTTCTGCCATTGTGTGGAAACTTTTTCTGAGGTTGTATTATATGGTATGTTATGTGTGAATAACTTCACTGTGTGTACTCCGGCCTGTGCAGATCATGCTGTACTTTGTAAATGTACCAGGGGGAAGGGGCTTTTTGCTGCTGATGTACTCACGGTGCAGGCTGAGGGAGATGTTGATGATTCTCTCCTCTGTGAAGCTCTTCAGATTGGGGATCTTGGCACATTTGAGGTGTGTGGAGGAGGGGGCGTCTCCTACGTGGATCCAGCAGACACTCTCCTGGGCGTAGATGAAGTCCATGGCTGTGGTTTGTTTGGTGCTGGTGGACAGCAGGCTGTGGACCGTGGTGCCGCTCAGGGAGGTGGCTTGGATGTTCTGGGAGTTGGCAATCAGCAGGACAGGCAGCCGGTCTACTGGTACTGTAGAGTGACATGAACATAACTAATGTTTAACAGGAGGAACATGAACAGAACATCCACACAGTCTCAGTCAAAACTAGATTACATTCAGTCCTGCTGCTGTTACTTACCATTCTTGGCTTTGCATGAGCGGTTGTCTGGCTGGGACAAGTACCCCTCCACACAGGAGCAGGCGTAGGAGCCTTCAGTGTTGGTACAGGACTGACTGCAGGTCCCATACACACTGCACTCGTCAAAATCTGAATCACAGAAACCAAAAATAGTCTTATTAGGATTAGCAAATAAATTCAAGGTGAGAAATGAGTAGAAAAACAATCCTGTGTCTACCGCTCAGTTGTAGTCTGCCGGACTAAGTGCGTGATTCATTTAAGATGGCGTGTTGGACAAAACAACCATTACACCAGTCAGGTTACCAAGAGTTGCTCATTATGTGACTCCTCTATAATCCCAATGGCTGCTTGGATACAAATGTTTTTCTGGGAAATGCTCGGCACTCCAAGGGGCCTTGAACTACCCACTGTGTGTTCTCCACTTGATTCAGCTCCTCCAAAAGCTGAGTAAATACTGGATCAGCTTTGGACTGTAAGAGAACTTCTTAAGGCAAGCACATAAATGTACGTTTTTTGCTGATGCAACATAGTCATCACGTCATTTCTGTCCTTCTGACATTTTGGGGAGGAAAAAAATGATTTCAAAGCTCTACTATTTTTCCTGACACTTGAGCCACATGCTCAACAGCAGGTATCACAGACAGTTGCTTAGAGGAACTCACCTTTGCATGTCTTTCCATCCGGGCTGATCTCAAAACCACTTTTACAAAAACAAGCAGGGCCTGATGGAGTCACCGCACAGCTCTCCTGACAACCCTGGAGCGAACAGTTGGACACAAACACTGAGGGGAGACAAAGGAGGGAGGGAGGACAGAAGACAGGAGTAAGCTTTTGGAGTAATGTGCGTGGTAAAACAGGAAGACAACATTACATTGTGTAAAGAAGCGACTTAAGACTTAAGTTGTTGATTCATGTTTCTTTGCCGTTACTGACATTGTCATTAGGCTGAGAACACTGCATCAGTCATTCTAAAAGGAGGTGGATTTGTGCATAATTCTGTAATAATCCATTTAACATACCACTAAACCCACATATTATACTCTCATAACTCGTTTCATTCATCCTGCCAGGTACTGTTTATCAGAGGACCCAGACAGACGTGCCTGGAGGTGACTGCTGAAGCTGCTGTTTTACACTTTGTGGGGAATATTAACAGCTCAGCAGGGTGCTGAAGTGCATAAACACTTGATGTGACTGGCTTAATTGTTGAACTGCATTATGACTCGGGCCCTCCTCCTGACAATAAGGCACATATAATAAGAACAAAACACTCAGTCAGCTCAGTTTCCCATCAGCTCATCGGTATTACAATTGGCTAAGGGATGTTATCTACATTGTGGTTAAATGAAGAAGTGTGACCACTGTTCATGTCAGCGTTTCATACAAGGACTGCCTCTCATATGAGTGTATCTTCATCTGTCCCTGAAAACATAAAAACATCCATTAAACCTGAACGTCACAGATGAGAGGAATACATTGAGAATTAAAAGACACATTTAAGCCGGTATGCAACACTCAGCTCAGTACATAAGTAGCAGAAAGACAAAAGGACAACATCAAGTGCTGGTAATGTGAACAATCAAGCTAATGCATCATCACACTCATCAACAACGTTTTCCTTTCTAGAAACCATTTCCCCTAAATGTGTTTTTCATAATAAGAACTACTGGTCGACTTCAGCTCATCTGAAGGAATAACAAAAGCAATATTTGCCACTGTTAGTGCTTACTGCTGTACCAATTGGTAACTGATATTAAAGTGGGTCATGACTCAGTTGGACATTTGCATTTGCTAAATGTCATCATATTGCAAATATATTTGATTCTCATTTAACAACAAAATCCACTTTTCACTTTCATGTTTAGGTTAAGGTTGATAATTACTCTTAGTAAAACAATTATAAGATGTAAAACCTGTATATAGAAGGCCAGAGATGCAACAGAAATCTACAAATACTTGAGCCCTGCCATCACGATCAATACCTCCAGCCCAGACCATCTCCAAGGCGACACACACATCAAATATAGAAGGGCACAAACATGCAACTATCACACCTTCCAGTCAGCTGACCGATGCATAATGGAATCTCAACTGAGTTTCTAGCAGTGCACTGTACATCCTGGGAGATATAAATCAAGAGACAGTGAGTCATAGTCAAACACACACAGTCCTGTCAAACCAGGCTGAGATCTATCAGTCACAAGTGATTCACTTCACACTAGCATAACACCTCCGGAGAGCAAGAGGAGGGATCAAGAATCTCACCACACTTTCAAGATTAAAGAAAAAAAGCCCATGGGTTTGGTGCATTACTGTACTGTGCCTCTTGCATTGTGGCACTACATGAATTTTTCAAATCAATAACCAAGGTAAACATGAACAGCTTCAAACTGCTGAGCAAGAGAAACTAAACCATGCAAATCAGCAGATTTCTCTCACTGCATTTTCAGCAATTACTCCTCATTTTGAATCTTCTCTGCATGATAATAAACACCAGATGAGTTACTCCATATTACCAGTGGCCTCCTGCTATCTCAATACAATGCATTGAATATTACAGACACACACACAACTCTTCCTGCTGCTCTCCAGAGGCTTTCTGGGACAACCACAGTTCAAATTACAGACATGCCGGGAATTTTCCAAAACATGTCCAAGCATCGAACAACCAAGATGTGTTTATAAAACCAACATGGGCAACAATGTAAACAACCAACTGTGACACATACCACCAAATATTTAAGTAAAGAACACTTCTATATTTGGTTCAGAGTGCAAACCACTCATACCACTCATATGGGGTTTTTTAAATCAACACTTAAAACTCACTTTTTCTCTCTGGCTTTTGTTTAATTATTTATTTATTTATTCATTCATTTAGTTCTTTATTTTAATATTTATAACATAACATAGGATTTCATAAAGTATTTTTAAAATAGTTTATACATTATTCGAATATAGGAATATAGGATTACTTAAAATATAGTACCTTATATTTCATCTTTTTTCCCTTTAGACCCTTGCGGTTTATTCTTAAAAACCCTTACCCACCCCCCATTTTCCCTCTGCTGGTCTATGGCCTTGTAGAGGGTAACGAGGTACAGAGTCGCTTAGATACGCGGAGGAGTGCATCTGACGAAGAGATAGGTTGTTGTGCTCCCTATCTCTGTTTCTTATCCTATATCTAATAGAACTGCTCGGGTCTTGATATATTGAGTGGGGAAGTTCATGAGATCTTTCTAGAGGGTTATCAAGAATAACTTTTATCCAATGACCTTTTCCCTCTCTGTCTGTGTCTGTGTATTCTCTTGTTCCGATTAACCCAGCCAAATCTTTTTTCTTGTTTTGTATCTATATCTACGCCGGGATCCGGAGTCGAGGCTGATCCTCTTGCTGTAGTCCTGTGTCCTGGATCCTCTATCCTGAGTTCTGGATTAAGTCGTGGACTTCGGGTCGTGGCTGAACCTGTCTCTGCGGTCCTGCCTTGGGTCTCGTCATGCTGCTTCCCTGATGGCTTCCACAGGATTGTAGCTGACATCCTCGTGGATTCATCTTCTTATTACAGACACATGCATTTCCTAACATTCGGTCTATATGCTGTAAAATGTATTATCTCTTCGATGTACACACGGCATCTATTGCACGTCTGTCCGTCCTGGGAGAGGGATCCCTCCTCTGTTGCTCTCCCTGAGGTTTCTCCCATTTTTCCCTTTAAACTGTGGGTTTTCTCTGGAAGTTTTTCCTTGTACGATGTGAGGGTCTAAGGACAGAGGGTGTCATATTGTCATACTGATATTCTGAACAATGTGTGCTGTTGTATTTGCTGTAAAGTGTCTCTACTGTAGGCTATTTTTATTATATGTACAGCACTTTGGCTCGACCAAACATCGTTTATAAATGTGCTATATAAATAAAACTTGATTTGATATCAAGGATGACCCCTGAATCGAACACATAACCCCTAAGAAAAGAAAAATATATCAACGAGAGATATTTATGAAAACGACACAAATATTCACAACAACCTCCAACAGATTAACCTAATGCAAACCTTAAACCTAAAGTTAAACCAAGAAATAAGCAGCCATTTTGTCCCCAGAAAGAAGAAAAAAAAACCATTAGACATATATCTGCACACACACACACACACACACACACACACACACACACACACACACACACACACACACACACACACACACACACACACACACACACACACACACACACACACACACACACACACACACACACACACACACACACACACACACACACACACACACCACACACACACACACACACACACAACACACACACCACACACACACACACACACACACACACACACACACACACACACACACACACACACACACACACACACACACACACACCTCAAAGCACAGCCAGCCTGAAAGTGCATGAAAATGTAATGCCCTTCCCGGAGCCTCTTTCCATGTTTCTTTTATTAATAATTAATAATTTCTCATTTTCTTGACCGAAGGTGTAGAGTGGAGATGATTTATTTATTTATTTTTGAGAAAAGAGCGGAGGAAAATATAATGAGGCTAGATATTTCATTCTGCACACTGGGCCAGTCAAAACCTTGGAGGTGCCTTGGATAAAATAACTATTTCATATTTGGTTCAGATTCTTAGTTTTTTTATTTTGTAAAGGTTGCAGTTGAGACATTTTGGCTATTTCTATAGATTACTGATTGAGCAGTAATGATGCATGTTCCTCTACTTCCCTTTGGACCCTAGATGAGGAAGTCATCAGTTCCCTTTATACCTTTGTCATATCCTAAAAATCCATCAATACAGTAGAAATATGTTGGTCTTTTGCACAATCAAGCGTTATCATTACTCACCGTCGTCTACTTTTCGTCACATTCCTGTAAACTTTAAAGGACCTGACATTTTTAAGACTCATAATAAACTGCTTCCCAGTTTTAGGTTTCCAAATGACAACCTCCTTAATTTACGGTGATAAAAGAGGAAATAATGCCATTCTCAAGATGTCAAACTAAATTGGTTTTGTCTACTTGGCATAGAGAAACGCAACAAAAAAGACACACTATATTCTCATTACTATGGCAAATCAATCTGTTACTGTGACTTTCTGTGAGTATTTTGAGAACGAAAGATAAGATAGTCGACAAATAGAAATGAAATCGCACTCCCTACTCCCCATTCTTTAACACAGTCAGGACGCACTACCACAATAATTCTGTTATTTATCTGCACTCCACGTTGCATACACCAAAAAGCATGTGTGTGTGAGAGACAGTGGTATACCTCTGCAGTGTGGTCCCTCGTCCCAGCCGTCAGTACAGTCTGAAGCCCCGTTGCACAGTTTGCTCATGTGGATGCATAGCTCCGTCCCGCCACACTGGAACTCGTTAGGGGGGCACCGCGATACGGTACTGTGCGGACCTGAGGAAACACATACAATTTTGGTTTACTGAAAAGCAGAAAGATAATCGTTTGTAATTGATTGTAGTCTTTTTTTGCTACTCTATATCAAAATTCAGCCTAGTTCCAGGTCATGAAACCCTCAGCAACTCTACAAAAACAGTACATCTGAGACAATATATGTATATATTTGTGTATATTTTAATGTTTAACCTTTAAAAAGTCTACTTGAACATTGGTTCTGTTATTGTCTCCAATTCCCTCGAATTAGAGACAACATAAATAATAAGATAATCCAACATAAAAACATACACAGGCCTGCATGTAATTCCTGCAGAAGGTTTAGACCTAAATATATTAAATCAACCAAAACACCAAGATACACTGTAATGGTGACAACATTTAGGGTTCAATCAAACCATTAATGTAACCAAAATATAGTACTTCTCAGTTGCAATATTACCTTTTGATTCGTATATTGAATGTGTAATTCAATATCCCTCCATCAACTAAAGCCAAAATACTTATTATTGTTTTGCTTTGGTTTACAATAAGAAGCATTCTCATCAGGCCGAGACACAGGGGCAATGTCATGCAAAAACACCACTATTACTCTGCACCACCTTATCTTAGTACAGCAGTACATGCATTTCCTAAGATTGATCTAACTCTGGGATCTTTGTCATATGCCCTCTTCGTTTATCACTTTCATCAATTTTGTCTCAACTATAAACTGTTCAGTAAAGCAGAAACGCTTTCAAATCAATCTTTATAAAACACTGCCCTTTATTGCTGCCACTGGATGACAGATGTTCTAAAGGAGAGCGGACGTGTGTGTCTGAATGACATTGTATTTGTCAAACTCGAACAACACAGAAATGTTTCCCAACCATCTATCCCCCATTGAGTGCCCATCTATCCATCTGTTCCTTCATGTCTGGGGATGTTTCACAGCAATCAGGCTATGATTGCACAAAGAACAGATCTTCCAAAGATCCCTCATGCTCACCTGCATTCAAAAATAAATCTGCCACCTTTGTTCTGTCATAAGAACAAGAACAATCCTCAACTATTGTCAAACATTATGGAACAACACGGAACACCATGTGACAATCAAAGATGCTGCAGGTCTCAAAGCCCTTCATGTTCCACAGATGAACCTTGAGGGCCATATTAAATGAATGAGGCCTTCAATTCGTGACTAAATGCACAAATGATGTCAGGATCTGTGTGACTCAGCAAAATGTTTGAGCAATTACACTGATTGCACGCTTGCAGTAATTAATCAGAGCCCTGTTTCATAATGTTGGGACAAAAGAGAAAACTTTGTTCAAGTTAGGAAACACTTTGTGAGCTCCTCTTTTACCATTTCTGCAAGCATGTTTTTGAAACTAGTATGTTTTCATAAACCTACTCTGAAAGAACATTACAAAGGCAACTTAATCTCCGTGTCTCAGACCAAGTTCTTTGTTCAAGAATCTATTTTTGCCATAAGCTAGCTGTCTTGTTCCTTTACTATGTTTCCCAACACTTCAGCCTTACCCTTCTCATCCATCATGTATTTACATTTGTTTTCTCCTCCTGCCAACTTAGCAGACTCAACCACAAGGCAGACATTCAAAGAACCATTGTGGCAGCAAGAGATGGCCACGAGAGAAAACTAGCCGGAACTAGAAACACACCATTATCCCAGATGGAACTGGCCAAATGACTACCATCACTACATTTACACTGTACACACATCCATCCCAGAGGCAACACACCAACAATAAGCACACTGGCAGTAAAGTGACATGCAGGGCAGGCCTGTTATAGGAGCATGTGCTAAAAGAGGATTATGGGTTCCCTAGGAAAGAAAACATATTCGTCTGGAGTGCATATGAGTTTGGCCAAAGCTGCCTCCTTCACTAAATCTATGCAGCTTAACTTGATGTAGAGTTGTATGTTCTGCAAAAACAACTAGACAAGCAGCCAAGGCTTTTCTACTTAATGACCTTTCTTTTTACTGAACTCTTTTTCTTGGATGGTGTTTTTGCCTTGTGACTCTGACCAGTGTTTTATTTTCCCAACGAGAAAAAATTCTGTTTCTCAAGTCTAACAAGTCCATGTGTTGCCAACAACTTTGTCCATGGGCTGAACAAAAATATAAACGCAACACTTTTGTTTTTGCTCCCATTTTTCATGAGATGAACTCAAAGATCTAAAACATTTTCTATACAGTATACACAAAATAACCATTTATCTCAAATATTGTTCACAAATCTGAAAAAAAACAAAAAAACAGTCAGTATCTGGTGTGAGGGTAGGGGTAGGGGTAGGGTTAGGGTTAGGGTAATGTTGTGAATCGAGTGGCCTGTGTTCGTCGTCCATAACATACGCCTGCCCATACCATAACCCCACCACCACCATGGGCCACTCGATTCACAACATTACCCTAACCCTACCCCTCACACCAGATACTGACTGGTTTTCGGACCCCCCCCCCAGACCCCCCCAATAAAGCAAAACTGCACATCTCAGAGTGGCCTTTTATTGTGGCCAGCCTAAGGCACACCTGTGCAATAATCATGCTGTCTAATCAGCATCTTGATATGCCACACCTGTGAGGTGGGATGGATTATCTCGGCAAAGGAGAAGTGCTCACTATCACAGATTTTTCAGATTTGTGAAGAATATTTGAGAGAAATGGTTATTTTGTGTATATAGAACATGTTTTAGATCTTTGAGTTCATCTCATGAAAAATGGGAGCAAAAACAAAAGTGTTGCGTTTATATTTTTGTTCAGTGTATATTCCCTTCAGAGAGAGTGTCTGTATTTTTGCATAATAATTCAATCATGCAGTTATCTAGGTCCTATAATCTTCTTACAGTTCTTTCTAAATCTTGTTAATGAACAGATTGTTTCTCATGTATTTAATTAATGACCAAACTGAAATGTACAAAAAAGAACTTCTGTTTCTCTGATGGTCTAAACGCTTATTGATACAACTCTTTATTTTATTGTCCAACTGATTATTTAATAACAATTCAACAAAGATGCATGAACTTCTCTTTTCCTTTAATTTTCTATTTTTACGATGCACTATTTGAAACGGATCACTCCTCTTTAGGGCTCAGCGTATGTGCAAAGTCAAACACTTCCCACTCTCCTGCTTTTTACCATTTTTCTTCTTCAACATCTGTTGACCCATTTACAGTAAGTGTTTAAATGGGAGAGCAGTGAGTGGAAAACCAACAAAGTGAGGAATAATGATTACAAAAGAGAAAGTAGACAGTGAGGACCGAGGGGAGCACCTCATCCACAGGAAGTGGACAGAGCCCCACAAGGCCTCATTCTTGGGCGAGCTGGCAGCGGTCGGCGAGGCCACGGTGGAAAAGGCATTGCTAATTTGAATTAAACAGGGTCTATTATTCAACATTCCTCTGCTGCGAGTGAGCCAGGTTAACAGGCCCAAACTTTTTTCTTTGAGAAGTTTCTGTTTGCTCTGTTTAATAGTTTAGTAAAAAATCGACACAGGCTGGCTGGTACCGCTTCAACTACTATGTTCTGTAGCTCAATTAAGGCACCCAAGGAAAAGGAAAAATATCCTGGTGTTCCCATCATCGACCCATACAGACCTTGTGACAGGGCCAGAGGGTGAAAACCAAGGCTGGAGATTTGACAATTATGTTCCTATGGAGAGCTGGAGATTGTTCCGAGGCTTCACTTCACTGCCACAGACGCCACAGAGTCGTAAGCAGATACCATTACTGATTTCACTTCCTCCATAGGTCAACAAATGTGTCTAAGAAGCTAACGTCTTTAGCCTTGTTAAAAACTGGATTGCAATACCAGAATAGAAGCAATATTAACATGTGATACTTTTCCAAGTCACAAAGTCATAACGAAGCCTTTTTTCTTTAAGCATCTACCAAAACAAGAGTGCCACATGCTGGAATTTAGACACCGCATGCACGAGTGGAGTACTTAAGCCGCTACACATAGAGGTAGATCACATGCACTTTTTCAGTGCTAGGGAGGTCATAGAGGGTGGTGAAGGGGGGGTAGAAAACTAAGGCTATTGTTTGGATCACACAAATCGGCTGTGACCCCCGACAAAGCTGAGCCGCAGTGCTGTAAGCAGCGTCACGTGCTAAGCTTGATCTGAACTGTGGGGGGGTGGCAATGACCATGGAGACACAGTGGTGAAAGGGGAGCTGGCACTTCACAAATATGTGCTGTTTTTGGATACATATTTTAACACATTTATCTTGATAAGACTGCCAATAATCTTCAGTTTCTCCTTTTACAAGTTATTAGAATTAGAATAGATTATTCAACTAATCCATTAATCCACAAAGTGCTGTTCACAGCCTTTCAAATATGGATTTCCTGCTCTTCTACATTTTGTATCATAACAATAACTAACATTTGTTTGGGACTGACGAAACAAGACACCACCTTAAAGAGACATCACTTTGGACTTTAAATGACAGGGTTTTACTCAATTTTCTGACAATGTTGTATACCAGAAAAGTTTTTGGATCAATTGAGAAAAAGCAGACTAATAGATGATAAAGAATAATCTGTTTATTGCAGACCTTCAAGTAACAGGCTTGTAGAATTATTTTATTTAGAAATTGTCTCACAATCTGTGTTTGGTCTCCAGTGGTAGAAAAGAAGCCCAGCCGACTGAGAAGGAGTCCGGATCTGGGTCTGGATCAGGCTGTCCCCGAGCCCAAAGCTTGTTAGGCTTTGGGGATTTTCCATTCACTAGCTCATGCTTCCCCTTGGCATGCTATTCAACACAATGCTTATTCAACCAATAACAAACACACAAACAAATAATAAGCAGTGCTAAAAACATAAAAGGGACTTTATGTGGGCCAGAATGAGGCCAACAAGCAACAAGGCAGCCTTGAGTTTCTTATACATACTACAAACACTTCAGCTTGTGAAACAATGAAAAAAAACACACATAGGGCCTAGATACCCTTCTAACAAGTAAGATAATTAAAATATAATTGGGCTACTCTTCATG